TTAATTAAATTTTTTTTTCAATACAACACAAGTTTTCTTTATTATTGAGTTGATGTGTATGCCTTTGGCAAAGCTAACATCTGCTTATCCTCTTGCCTTTTCAAAATCAAACCTGTGACAGTAATACAGTACGAGATGTGTACATCAACATGTGCTTCCTACAAATAAAGACTTGTTGTTTTTTTGATACACTGTGTTCTGTGGTTCAATTCGTAATGCTGGTAACAGCTCCATAGTCCTGTGGTTTTAGCAGCATTTTTTTTTTTTGGCAGGATTTTTTTTTTTTTCGCCCTCTCGCATTAGTTTTTTGGGGGTCTTCAGAGGATGTCATTCATAAAATTAAATCAGTGTGGCCTAATGGCAAATTAAAGGCCGGTGGTGTTTGATATAGGACTCATAGCAACATACACAAGGTGTGTAAAATACATAGTTTGTTTGAACATGTGCTGCTCGATGACCACCGCCCATTAAGTATTCAGTATGGCTGTATGCACTGATTGAAATCTCTCTGCAGGTTTGTGGATTATCCTATAGCACCATCTAGCACCAAGTTGCATTCTCGTACATCAAATCAATTTGCCACTGAGTACTATATACATGTACCATATTCGCTCTATTAGTAGTGCATGTACTTTAATACGTAATTGACAATAATTCATACAATAAATGAATGCACTATTTGGTTTATGTGTACTTCTATTAGAGATATGGTTTAGTAGAGCAAAATATGGTAACGGTATTCTTCAAGAGATATTTTACTCCCACAATGCATTGCAATATGCTGAAATAACTTGCTTGAATTCAAACAATGAGAGTGGTAAATTTTGACCACAGATTTAGGTAATGATAGAGGTCTGAAATTGTCATAGAATAATTGTTCTGACTTATTTTAAAAATCTGGAAGTGACAACAAATGCTATTATGTTTTAAACATTGTGTTCTATGGAATTGTTCCTAATTTGTATTAATACTGTAATTTGCCAAAATTTTTTCAAAATATGTTACTGGACCAAACAAACGAATGCTGTTCCATGTTATTTTAGTATTTATTTATTCAACTTTTAATACTAAGTTAATTCAGCAGGCAAACCCATTTACAGATATGGGAAAATATATAGAATGTACATTACATACGAATGTGTGGATAAATAGTGCTACCAAAAAAAACAAGAAACATATCTACACATGCCCTGCAGATATACACACTATACCTCAGCGATTCATACATAATAAACAATTGAACATTGCCATGCGATATATGACCTTAAATATTAATTCTTTGGTCGTGATTTGTTCTCAGATTTCATCAGCAGGTTTCACTGGGAAACTATAAAACTTGGCTTGAACAAAGAAAAAGTGAAACGCAGTCACAATCAGCGCTTCAGACCAAGGAAACTAAGTATACCCATCAAGTAGATGAATATACAGATTCTGGAGCCAATGGCACAACCGATGCAGATGCTGCAGGTCCACAGTATCCTTCATCTTTTTTTGATTTGTTACAAAAGATAGAAAAAGGAGAACCACTACCTGGAGTAGAGGAGTTGAATATTCAACCAACAAATACACCAGCCACAGAATCGTCATTAGCAACCAAAATGAAACCATGGGAACATTGAATCGAGGCATTAAATCAGTATTGCAGTCTTTGCTGGATAGTTGTATGCAAATATGTATGACCCCAAAGGTCACACACCTTGGCGCGTTTTTGGGGGTATTGTTTTACCAATTATATAAATTTTTTTGGGGGAAAAATATATAGTAAAGTTGTACCAGCAAGTGTAACTTTTTGTTGGTAAAGCATGAAGGCTAAGCAAAAAGAAAAACATTTCTGGTCAATTTGATGTCATGAGAATTGAAACCTTAAAAAATAAAAGGCTGTGATGCAGTTTTAACTGATGCAGGTGACAACCAAAAAATATTACCGGTAATATTGGTTTTCTGGGTGTATATACTGGATCCAACAAGGAACATGCAAAATATGGAACAATATGTTTTTTGATCAAAATCATAGAAAACATACAATAAATAGTATATGTCTACAAAATACGATTTGGCAATTTATTCGATCGGGAAAAAAATACCAAATTAGTTTTCTTAGAAAATAATTTCAAGTTACCTAGTACATAATCAATGGAATGTTGATTTAAAATTTGAAGCAGATAATTTATTACCTTATAATAATAAATCATGTTACAGATTTTATTAGTATTTACTATTCAGAGAAGATCCATGATAACAAGTTATCAAAATATGTAATGAAATGAAAAGCATGCAATTATGAATACCGGTACTTGTAGAATGCTTTATTTTAGCTGAATTGATTTGTGGGTGTTTTGTATGGAATTTATTTTCACTGATTTTTAACGAGTTGAATGTGAAATATAGGAAAAAAAGTATATTCGCTGGATTTTATTTTCACTGAAGCATCCCTTCAGCCAAAATAAATTCCACGTGAAAACAAAGTATTTATAGTAGTACCACAGGGGCTTTGTTAAGAGGCAGATACCGGCTATAAATAGCTGACTATCGGTACTTGGCTTGTTAGAAAATATGCAACTACTAGTAATAGAAAGTGCAACATTTAGGCCACCTACTCCTAAAACTTAGTGAAACCTCTGCTACCACAGTTTACAGAATGATTTAGAGAAACACACAGGCAGCAAACTCAATAATTGAAGGTCCTGGCTTTGGTGATCAAGTAGTTTTGGTGTAAGAAGTTCAACCTTTCATCAGCTCATCAGTAGATGTCTTCAATTACAAAATTAAAAAAACTTTTCTTTTTTCAACAAGTGTATGTAAAATGCACGTGTCTCATTGAGCATTACTGATGAATATCATGTGCTATTATTATGCTTTGCGTTTTTAAAAGAAACTGAATGTGAAGTCAATGTACTCAACATTTAAGTTCTCACCAGAAACTACTGGAAGACTCTCTTAAACTGATGTGTGCACATTTACTTGTAATATACTGTAGAATACTTTATTTTCGGTTGGAATTAATTTTCGCTGAAGGAATAATTCAGTGAATATATCTTTTTTCCTATATTTTACATTTAATATGTCAAAAATCAGTGAAAATAAATTTCATACAAAGCACCAAAAATGTCTTTTTAGCGAAAATTAATTCCAGCTAAAATAAAGTATTTGACAGTCATATGAATGACATGTATATCAAAATTACTTGTGCAATAAAATATACCGGTACAGTTGTTGTATAGATCAAAAGGTGTCATGGTTGTGGGCTACTAGTATACACAGGTAGGAATCAGGCAGGACACCATATAACATATAAATTATTCACATAAAATCAAAGAAAAAAATATTTCAGGTTTGACATCAAGTGTTAATAAAATTATTTTCAAGCATATCTCCATAAATGTATAATATAAATAGTTTTAAAATTGTTTTTGTGCAAAATGGCTGCCGGGTACATAGACAATGCTTAGATACTATGGGAGAAAACTCCTCTAAGTTGGTAGAACTTATACCGTTGGAAAGCAGTCATATGTACCGTAATCCTTCTAATAATTCGATCAGGAAAAAATAATTATTTTTGCAGGTGACTGAATTGATAGAAGAAAAACAGAAAATATTATTTGGGTGGTCGAATTATAGGAGTGTAATTTTGGTAATCCAACTGCAATGAAAAACAAGCAGTACCCCCAGTTTTCTTGCTTTACTTGCAATTACTGCCTGATCAGACAGAAAACTCTTATAATATCATATATACCTGTGACTGGTAAAACATGGAACATCTCAAAAGCCCATGTTATAAATTTTCATGCTCATAAAAAGATAGATTGATCTGCTAATATAGTTGCAATAAATATGTTAAAGGGCTGTGGTCGTTGCACCACACATGTGCGACATTTGTGTTGATAAACAGTGATTTTCCCACAATCCAATGCACTCTTTTGTAAATCATGAGTACGAGTTTTGACCTGGGTGCACTAATTACTGCCAGTGACTCTTTTGATACCTTCCAGTCACCAAAGGAATTACCTAATTAAAGCTTGGTAATGTCTCAGTTTGTACTCATTTGTCTGCGCAGTCAAAGTTGCCATCTTTGTTCATACGAGACCCATATCTTGCGCATGCTTGGCGTGACAACCACCACCCTTTAAAAAGATTTGTCCAGCAGTTCTAGAGAAAAATTTAATTCATAATTCTATTACATTATATTACAAAGAAACTACAATTTGCTGCAAGTTCATCAAAACCACATTATAGTTGGTTTGTCATTTATACTCCAGCATTATAAGATACAATATTTTAAAAGTTCGAACTACCATATTAGCCCGTAACCATTTCTGCTATTTTGATTTTTGGTGTATATGCACTTTTATTGAAGATGAGCAAATTAGGTACTGCAATCCACTTTCATTCTGCCAGACAATTTTTTTTAATTTGGCCAGTAAAGAACAAATTGTGAAATTTTTTTGCTCAAGACTGGAAGTCTCCGTGACATTCATTCATTCATACACGAATGTTTTCAAATTCGAGCGAATAACAAACTCCAATATTACGAAACAAGCAGTTCTTCCTGACTATTACAAGGAAGTTGAAAGAACCAAGACATGCTGTAAGTTCTTCAAAACCACATAGTAGTTGGCTTGTCATTGTTTCAAACTGCTTTTATTTTTTTATACGAAACAATTTTTCATGAAATCACAAACTTTTGTAGCAGTGAAGATTTCACTTGGTTCCTTAGAACAGAGAAAATGATTTTCCATAAAAAGATCCTTAAATTATCAAATCAAAGAATTTTAGGTATTTCAGTATGATACATATTACAATTAGGCCCATAAAATTTGTTTAATGTTTTTGGTCATCAGAATTTTTGTCAAAAAAAAAAGCAATTAAATTTTTGATGACAATTTTATATAACAAATTGACTGGAATTACTTATGTTCTGGTTCCTATTGCATATTTTTTGTTGCTGTAGTAAAATCACACAATTTTGTATTTCATGACTGAATACAATTCTGAGAATATGAGAGGAAATATAACGTGACAAGCTTTGTAAAATATCAAACAAGAGTTGTAAATAGCTCTCGGTTTACTCCACCACAATTCGTCTTTGAATGCAAAATATACTGCGTAAAATGCCACAGCAAAGAAATGACCGATCAGAATCTCTGGTCTTGGTGTCAATCTGAAAAAACAAAATAAAGCACAAATGAACATTTTTTGTAGATGTAGATGGGTAGATACATTTTATAACAAAATTGTGTAGGATCATGTACTTTTTGTTTTGCATGTTCTAAGCTGGTGTTTCATGGCCGACTGAGAGCAAGTAATCAAATGGAAAACATGGTTGTTTACTTGGTTGAAAATTGAACAGTGCAGACCACTGCATCACATTTGGAACATTATAACTTAGTATTCACTTTCATCCAGAAATTTCATTAATCACACAGGTACATCCAACAGGGACATCTAGCGGGGCATCTAGTGGAACAAATAGCGGGGCATTTAGTGGGACATCTAGCGGGGCATTTATTGGGACATTTAGTGGGGCATCTAGCGAGGCATCTAGTGGGGCATTTAGTGGGACATCCAGTGGGACATCTAGCGGGGCATTTAGTGGGACATCCAGTGGGACATCTTGCGGGGCATTTAGTGGGACATCTAGCTGGGCATTTCGTGGGGCATCTAGCGGGGCATCTAGAGGGGCATTTAGTGGGACATCCAGTGGGACACCTAGTGGATATCTAGAGGGGCATTTAGTGGGACATCTAGCTGGGCATTTAGTGGGGCATCTAGCGGGGCATCTAGAGGGGCATTTAGTGGGACATCCAGTGGGACATCTAGCGGGGCATTTAGTGGGACATTTAGTGGGGCATTTAGTGGGACATCCAGTGGGACATCTAGCGGGGCATTTAGTGGGACATCCAGTGGGACACCGAGTGGATATCTAGAGGGGCATTTAGTGGGACATCTAGCAGGGCATCTAGCAAGGCATTTAGTGGAACATCTAGCAGGACATCTAGCGGGATATTTAGCGAGGCATCTAGCTGGGCATTTAGTGGGACATCTAGCGGGGCATTTAGTGGGACATCCA